ATGACATTATCTGCAATAGATGAAAAACAGTTTTCACGCGCTAGCGAAATTTTCGGCCATGCGACGCAATTCATCTCTGCGGTTGCACGTTTAATCGCTTCAAGTGCGCAAGAAATGTACACGAACCCAAATGAATACATCGAACGACAAATGTGAATAACGTGAATGGAAATCTGGTGAAATTTGGCACCTGTCCTGGTATGCGGCTTATGTTATGTCAATTTTTGGAACTGCTTTCAAGTCCTCCTCGCGAGGCGCCGTTGTTGCTGTAAAACATGACACAAATTGACGTCGCAGCTGAATGCCAATCTATATATAATGATAGATGAATGTTACTCTGATGTTGGCAGCTACAACGGGCTGAAAGAGGAAGACATATACACTCCGGACGGCGTGAAGGAAATTGGCATCGAAACGGCCAAGCCGATTGTCACTACTGCCTACCTGCTCGACATCGCCGGATTCAAGGGGGTGGACATGATCACCCAGAGATACGTGGTGACCCTGAGCGACGTCAAGGGCGCCATGGAAAGGCAGGGCATCAGCGAAGAAGAATTCGTTCCGGGCAACGCCTACATTTTCAGTTACGGTAGGAAAAATGCCGTGAAATGAGTTTTCATCATCATCGCCAGTAATTCTTACATATCGTTGCGAGGAAGCAGCTATCACCTCCCTGTTCCTCCCGATCAAATCATTGACTTCTTCGCCAGAACTCGCGACGCATCTGCTGCCTCAGCGTAGGATTGGCGGTGGCGGCGGATTGGGGTATTCATTGGTCTTCATTTGGAGGTAGTACATGCCCATCGTTATTTGCCTATCAAACTATACTGCCCAAATCTCCGAGATCTCCATCATCCTGCTGGATTCACTACATTCAGTTGCCTCGGCGACGTCCCAAACTGGTCAAGTTCTAAAATCCATATGAAGTCTGCGATGTAATTCACCTGTGCTCCAGGGCTGACCATCAGCCGCTTATAAGCGGGTAACAAGGCCACTGAATAATCAAGGAGCCATGCATATAATCCATATATTTAGTCACATACTGACGCCACACACAGAAGTGATATACTAGAATATTTTATTAGAATTCATCGCTACCAAATCCGTGGACCGCATGTGTTGCGATTCAAATGAACGCTCGCAGGCTACGATACGCTGTGGCTCACCGACCCCGACCGCTACGGCAACATGACCGGTGGCATCTCCTGCGAGGTCGCCGAGTACTTCGCCAGCAGGGGCGCCGTGCTCTTCGGGGGCGACAGCCACCCCGTGGAGGCCATGCCGGATGGGGTGGAGCCGCTGGTCGACCCCGTGCACACCTACATCATTCCCAAGTTCGGAATGCACATGCTGGAGAATCTGTTCCTCCAGGAGCTTCTTGAAGACGGGGTGAACAGGTTCCTGCTGGTGGTGAGCCCGCTGAAGTGGGTGGGGGGCATCGCCTCCCCCGTGGCACCCATAGGCATCGCGTGAGAAGGAGTCAAAAGGGGAATGGGGGCTTTATCGCAAGAACTTTTTTATGTATAAAGGGCGCTAGCGTGGGCCGGCGCAGCTCGTCGGATCTGTATCTATTTTGCGTCATTCTGTTTGAAGTAGAGGGCGAACTGATTGGGGTATGGGGTGTCGCTTGCCAGAGGCAAAGGTGTGAAGCGGAGATTGGTGGACTGTGTGCATCGTGGCAAATTTGGAGACAACAGCGAGATTGGATGCTGTGGTGCAGGCTGCTCAGAACATATGTTTGGGAAATGCAAATTAGTTTTTGTACATGTAGGATCGCTTGGCACGTGTTTTGGAGTGTTTTCGGTGTGGCATGGCAATGAAGGAACGCTGGCAATCCTATCGTCGCAATTTTAGTAATTTGGGATTGGCGAATGTGCAGCGATCGTAAATGCCATGGGCATCTCGAATGGTCAGCCTGATCCTATGTTGCAGTGACCAAAATCCATATCCCAGCAAGAAATCCAATCGTGCAGGTCCATGCAAGCCTTGTTTACTAGGGGAGAGCGTATCACAAAAAGCAATTCGGTTGAATCGGATTTCACTTACTACCTCCGTTCCATAAGTCTTGTTCCGTTATCCAATCCTGCCGTAACTTTGCAAGATCAACTCAATTATTAAATCTGTCACCAGATTCGGATTCTTTGTTCGATTTTGAGTTAATGGGGATCTTGATTACATTAGCCATCACGATACAGCAAGACATGCACAGCCTTATCGAAAGCGTCCTTGTCCAATACCGTCAGGGCCTTCAATTCTCCACGTCGCTGCCTTCGCCTTATCCCGGTGTGCTGCAACTTGTAGCCATTTCATCCCAATTCCTGTATCACCTTGTTGTCAACAACGGAGGTACTGCCACACACTTTCAAGAGTATCAGCATCATGGTGTTCATATTCTTTGGTAGAACGTATCGACCATCTCTTCGACAGTGCTAAAATGTTTTAATTTAAATTTGATTTAATTTAATTTAAATTTTCTTTGCACAACTCTTGTTTTCAACCATATAAAGAAACCCAGATCGTTGATGTTCAAATCTGGCGACTGGGTTGCCTGCGTACTCAGGTCGATCGACCAACCCCTAGCCCGGCCAGCGCTTCTGAGAACCTCCATGTTCCCCTTGCCTATGTGGGGGCTAGCCCCATCTTGCGGCACAATAAGCTCCTGATTGCGCACCAACGGCATCTTCCTCTTCATCGCTGGCAACAGCACTGCATATACCACCTAAAAATACCAGGCAGAGTCTATTGTGCAATCTACTTGGTACCTATCTCCCTTTTGGTTGTGCTTTCTAGATTTTTCTGCCATCTTCTCACTGCGAATTCTCCAGATGCCAATCTTTCCATCGAAGAGATGGCTATCATCGGGCCTGGCGTTAGCCACGATGAACAACACTTTGGGGATCACTAGCGAAAAAAAGGACCGAACAGCACTTTTTGCGAATGTATGTGAAATGCATGTCATCAATGCTCCGAATGCTCAGGGCGCAAAACTAACACAAACCCATAAAATTGTTGCACGGCTTAACAAATGGTACTTGGCCCTTTTTTCTAGTGGATGTGGCTTTTGCGTTGGGCAGTTGGGCAACCCTCCAGCATCCCCTCGGGGAAATAGCGTGCGTGCTCTCCATCAACCATCCAGCAAAACCACCTTTCGTTAACACGAATCACGTTGCAGGCTGAAGGAAACAACATCGTCCTGGTGTCAACTGAATTTACCACGAACACCAGCCTGTCCCAGATCTGGTCAGGACTCAAAGGTGGTTTGATCCACCGCCTTCTTGACAGAGACCCCTTGGTTTTCAGCCACCTAAACACTGGTGAATGGCAGACCCCCACTCCACATTCCTTGGATGTGCCGCACAGTCCCTCTTTGATTGGCCATGTTGGCCTTGGCTAAGTTCTCCTTTTCGTTTGCCGTCAACAAGCATGGCCTTTCAGGCCTCGGCGTGTGTGCCAAGTCTATCCTCCCGAACTGATCAAGTTGGATCTTGGCCTTCAACCACAAAATTTGCGCAGTTCTCGTCGACGCCCCCAAATCGGCTGCGATCTCCATTCCTTTCCCCTTCGGAACCCTTAGGAATGGGGCGAAATGCCCGCGGCACATCCCGAACGACCAAGCCATACCTCTCCCCTAGCCATAGCTCAGTTCGACCCACCTCCGTCGAAGGGCAAGACGAGCTCAACATGCCCCACTCTGGGTCCCGACAAAAGGAAAGGTGGCGCCTGCACTCCTCTTAACATATCTCAAGAACTGCAGAGCCGTTTTCCACGTTCAAGAACTCTACGAATAGCTGTCGATATGGCGCGCCAAAGTTGTTTTGGTCAAATTTTTTGACTCGCAAGTCTTGACGTCCGTTTACGCGATTTGGATAACGGGCAAGACTTTTGGAGCAGAGGTAGTATATTGGCCACGTTTACCGGTGTCGATGTTTTCCAGCACAAGAACACCCGAATCTCCATAGCTGTTCCTATCGAAGGAAACAAATGTAGCCTTTTCAAACCGTGTCCGAATGGTGAAAGCTTTTGGCTGGAAATCAAGCCAGGGGCCTGGATTGATTACATGTAACGCTGTCCAAGACTCGCTGAAAGTGGGTGAACACAACGAGTGCCACAGTGATTCGAAGTCTCTGAGACTGAGCCATGGAAATCTGCAATTCTGAAGATCTCGCTGCCCTGCCTGGAGGGTGCCCTTTCACGGGGACCATTTCCGTATGCTCCACGACATTTGATGGGGAAATAGATGATCCCCAGGCTCCGGGAGCGTTGAAACACCAGATCCAGAAAATCTGGGTTTCTGGACGTGATCTTACCAACAGTGATGCTGCAATCGACGTGTGTATTTGCTGCAAACCAGGTGACCAGAAGACAGCATTGCATTCAGGGCAGATGAAGAAATTCTTAGAATATCCAACGTTCCCAGTATCTGACGACAACAGCCACTTGCTGCCCGCCAAATGACAGCAAAGGCGTTCGTTGCTGCAGCATTAACAAATCGAAATTCTGGCAGTCACAACGTCTTGACCCAATGACCTTGCCTCCAGTATGTGCCCCGTAGGGCTGCCGCATCCATGAAGCAAACTTCACTGCGCCGTGGACCTTCTGCATCGCCAGATCTCCATTGCTGAGTATGCAAGCGCACGGCTCTTCAGGTGTCGTGCTCTGCATGTTTTGGCAGCACTCACTGGCTCCAGCCATTAATTTGCCGCGTCGAATGGCAGGTGAGGAAATGCTGAATGCGCATACCAATACTCGTAGTTGAACGATGGCATAGCTCTTATACACCTATTTGTCCGGGGTTAAAATGTAAGCGCACTGTATTTCCCGAGCAAGCTTTTCATTACTTTTAATGGGCGCACAAACGCACATGCTATCTGATGTTGCCCACACACAAACATGCACATGCATCATGTAGCTGCCGTCATCGAAACTGGTTTTGCATGCGTTCCTATTTCTTTGATGTCACTCTCAACCCTCGTGGCAAGGGATTTTTGCAGGCTGGCATGAAAGAACGCTACTTGAAAACGTCATGTTTGCGATGCCAGTGGTGCCGTCACAGCTATTGCGATGGTATAAAAGGGTGCGCGATGGCATCAATTTGTGTCGAATCGCACCGCAGTTGGCATCGCCAACAGGCTGTTCTCTACTGGCGGAAACTCACTGAAGCGTCAGCAAAGTTCACCCTTTTGTGAGCGCCGCCTCCGTCGAAATCTCCATGTGCCCAAGGGCAACGAGCTCACATGCTGTCAATCGTGCCGTTGGCGCAGTGCGTAGATGCGCATCCAGCAGCACTTTTATCCAGTCGCTGGACAATTGTGTTGCTGCTGGCGCCGACGAAGGCAGGCAGGTTCGCGGGATGCATCCCCGCCATATGGCGGCCATTGACTGGGGACCGTAGGCTCGAGTACACAGCAACGGTTTATAGCAGAGCAAAGGGACAACAAGAATTCTGTCCCTTATATATGCGGTTCGTTCGCCATGATGAAGTGATGAACTGATCAGTGTCCTTACTTCAGTTCCTATGCTCTCATCTGCTCTTAAGGGGTCCAGCTGTTAATAATACTCAACCAGTTCTGACTACAACAGCGCGCTGGACCCTGAGGCATCATTAGTATTGCACATTGTTACGGCTAGAACTGATTGAGTGTTATTAATAACTGAGTGCATGAAAAGATGATGAAGCATTAGGAATTGCATTAAGGATGTTGATTAACGGATGGAGTATAAAGGACAGAACGCTTGTTGTCCTTTTGCCGTGGACTCGAGCATACAATTCCCGTTCAGGGATCGCCACCCCTCGACCCTGCCTGCCTTCATCAATTGGCACCCAAGGCAGAGGGTGTGCAAGCCGAGACACGGACCAGGTTAGCCTGTTGCAACCTGGGGGCGGACTGAGCGCCGAGAGCACTGGAGTTCTACGTTGCCCAGGCGACGTTTCCGAGAACTTTTTTGGGATCGAAGATTCAAGACATCCATCAAGCGGTTGGTTACGACGGGACTCCAACGGCCCAGAGTCCATTTCGTGTGGGCTTTCTGGAGTGTTTTGGCAAGAGCGCCAGCGATAATCAGCTGTCGTTAGGTGTGGGGTTCAGTTTTGTGTCAAGGCTTCAACCGTTGACTTGAATACGGAGAGAATCGTACGTTGCGAGTGAGTCCAACGGGCAGTGCGACAATGTGTCAATGGTGCGCCGTAGCACAGTGGCTCAGCCACCGCCAAGGGGATCAGTTCGCTGACTGATTGAGCCTCCTCCCAAGGGTCGATGTGCAGTACGGCACAGCTCTCGTAGTGCTGTGCTATGGCTTGAAGAAGTACAACGTGTTGTGCTGCGACGGTGTCGGCGATTCGTTGTGGTTGCTGAGGTGTCCAAGGGATCACGTGTTTGCCACGTAGCACACACGTCCCGATAGCGAGGATTGCATGACAAGGAGTCAGCAGGAGAGCAGTTTGTATCAGCTTGTGTCAGCTTGTGTCAGCCGAC